CCCCTCCCTCCGCTGACCCCAAGTGGCTAATTAGCGTCATCGCGGTTGTTAGTCGTAGTATTACATCCATGGCGCATGCTGTCGCCGCGTGACCCACGAAAAACAATCGCGACGGGACGTTTTCGACGTTTCCGTTGCGGTGAATGCAGCTGGCGTCGGCGACGGCAACGTTGATTAATCGCGCGTTTGTAATTAGCGAAAATATATAGCCGTGCCGTTGTCGCGACGGTATCGCACATTAATTCGCGTAGCGCAAATTATCGCGCGTAGAGAGAGAGAGAGAATGGCGCGCGACGCGCGTTCAAGAGGATGCCGAAGTGGGTGACGAGTTCGAAAAGTGTTGATAACACAGAGGCGATCGTCTCACTAACACGACTATACTATCCTTTTCGTATTTCTTGTACGTATAGGTCTCATACAAAGACCTAAATGCGTGCTGCTTTGTTTCATCACGTTAGCGAGAACATAACCACGCATGTATAAAAATATTTTTGCACACACAACTGACAGGTCGAAATGTCAGAACTTTTTGTCGTTTTCGTCATATATTGAACAAAGCTCCAAATCATTTTTGCACGTGAGTTTCAGAGTGTAAAAGCATTTGCAATTTTGTGCAATCGATATACGACGTAAACTTTGCAGAAAAGAGTTAGTATCATGTCGGTAAAGTTTTCATTCCTTTAATCGCGAAAAGTAGCGAAATTGTTTTCTTCGCGACGCCGCACTATCGATATCGAGCGAGATCGGTCGGTGTCGCTCGTACATTTTCCGCAGTTTTGCGGCCAGACTCTTGATCGACACGGTTTACATATATATACGGAAAAGAATGAAAAGATACATAACGAGAAATATTTAAGAATCGTCCTAGTTAACTTTGTACGATGTGTTTTGATGTGACTCGGTTACATCGGTGCATCAACATCATCGATGTAGTTGATCTGGTTGTGGCAAGCAGAAGTCGGTGGGAGTGACGTTTGTACATATCATGGATGCACTCTGTTTCGAGCAAGCAGACATCGTCACTGCCGCGACAACGTCAGTAACTCGACAATTGCTCTGTGCTCGCAGCGACCACATAATTAGTCGTTCTCTACTTTACATATTGAGTCTACACGGCGAAAAAAAGTTCGATCCCTCTGCCTTTTTCTCCACTTTCTATATATCTCCTTCAGCTTACATCGCCGAGAAGGAGTTTCTCACATCCTATAATCTTCCTTTTACTCTTTGTAATCTCCTTGCTTACGTAGCACCTGTCTTACCAGTCCTTGTGTCATTCTTCTTCCGTATACTTTTATTTTGCTTTCTTATCCCGTCCAAATCTTTCCTTTTCAGTTCTTGTATCCTCTTGTTCTTCCCATCCTTTGTATTATTCTGTCTTCTATTATCATCCGTTATACATTTTCTCTATCAATAATTTCCTCTGCATTATCATATTAATTTAAGCTTGCTTGCTTTACCCACATCGCCCGTTTCATATGACGTGATGATATTCATTTTCTATGTATCTTTTCCGCCCTGAATCCTACCCTTTCCTACCTAACGCTTTGTTTCGCCCTCACTTATATACTATCAACGCACTCATTCCTACGCAATCATCCCTATTTGACTTCCTACACTTAATTCAATACACTGAAATCATTCCAAACTCATGCACCAGATTAATCAAGTATTTACACACTAGTATTTACGCCACCTGAGCCAAATCAATTAAATTTTGCCAACTTGAATAGAATTTTGGTAACCAACCAGGATTTTTTTGGTTCGCTTATATTTTACCGGATGTCAGTTAATCCACAAAACCAAACCTTTTTTTTCCGTGACATATAACCAGATTTATACGTGGCCTAACCATATTGTTTTTTCCGAATTCGCGCGTAACATTCGCTGATGGTATCGTGCCCAGAGAGCGTCGCTCCAGAAAACCAGCCACGCGGCATTGTTTGCGACTTGCTCCCGGCCAGTTGCAATTACGCGTGTCTTAATAGCGCCGCCCGCGCCCATTTCTAATTTTACTCGCACTCCGAATGAACCACCTCTCTGATTTGCTGTTGTCGCGCGGCTCTGATACGCGCCGCAAATTGCCCGGTAGACTCTATCCGACGAACATATGCGTCTGACTCATCGCGATGTATCTTTATCGAGCTAATATCGCCCCTCTGACTGACATCGATTGCCGATGACGTGGGCGAGGTCGGCTATTGATAATTTCATTGACGTTGCGGCAGCACACACACACACACACACACACATGTCGCGCGTTCCTTTCTCCTCACGCATTTGAAAATTTTTTTATTAATCGACGACCCATCACAGTTTTTGCACAAGACGAAGCGTTGCCAACGAGCCCGACAATATACAGCGTTTGAGTGTTCATTAATTATCGTTGGATAGAAAAGCGCAGGCGAAGGTGCGTTGAAAGTAAAAATAGCGGATCTGTATAAATATCCTTCAGTCTCTTCCACCGACTTCACCACTGCACGATGTACAAATTGATACAAATGTCGCGAAAGCTTTACTATAGTTACATACGTGAGGACCGAAAGAACCGTGGGCCGCACTACTTATAGTCGTTAACGTGCCGGTGTAGAATCGCCGAGTGCAGGAAGTAGCCGGGAAAAAGATGATCCCTTATGTAATGCGCCCTGGTGTGCCAAGATTAGCATCGCGCTGGTATACATTTCATATGTTAGCTTTAACGCCAGTCCACTAAATCCGCGCGATACAGCTGCTGCAGGAGCAAAGACCTTTCGTTCCCTAAGCGGTACCGCGCCATTCGGTAATCGGTATCGGGCGATCGATGTATCTGGCGCAGATTGCAAAATGTGCTCTGGCTATGTGCGGAAGGTAGACGCGGGGCCGATTCATTAACGAATGACCTGTCGAGCTGCTTTCTATGCAAACCTTCGCGTTGCCGAGTACGAGACGATAATCACGCGCTTGAGTACTCATTAACGACGGTCGTACAGACGTCGAAGACTCGTTCTCAAGGGCGAATTCTCATTGGCAGGCGTTTGGTCGCCAGGACAGACGCCACCTGCGAAGGAACCGAGTCCCGATCGGAGCAGGCAACCACTGAAGGACGAGGCGATTCCGCCGGTCTGGACCCCGGCCAGCGCCGGCGCGAGTCCCATCGCGGAGAGGAAGGAATTTCGTCCCGTACCGTTCGAGAGCCCCGTGCTGAGCCGGAAGGAGCGATCTAAGGAAGAGGTACGTCGTCGCCAATTACGGTAAGACAAGACGGTAGCTATTTGCCGAGCGCAAAGAACCGGCCTCGCAATTAGCTCCAAAAAGCTCGGCCGCAAGCTCGGTTCTCTCGAGCGAGTCGGCCGACGACTGGACTTCTTAGCTTGCGCGGGTTTCAGGGTAAAAATAAAACTCGCCGGCGTCTCTCGGCGGAAGGCTCGCGTTTGCGGAACGTGGCTTCTCTCCGGCGACGAATACGATCTCGCGCGATCTCAAGCCGTTTTCTGTCCGGTCGTTCTTCTTCGTCCTTGACAAAGGGGCAGAAGCCCTTCGAGGCTACACGCGCTCACGCGGACTTGTGTGCAGGAGGCGACGCCGCCTTGGGAGCACGAGGAGGGGAGAAAGGAGAACTCTCGAAGCGTGTACGAGAGCAGTGCGTCGCGGATCGTCAATTCTTACTCCGCGCCTGCCCAGGGCTTGAACACGCTCGCATCCACGCCGCGGTTGCCACGTGCCCAGAATCCGACCATCACGTTGCTGCAGAAAGCGAGAGGTCAGCGTCTCCCCCGCATAAAGATCCTTCGTTCGATGGTCGATCGATGGGCGTAGGGTAAAACACTCCCAATTGAGACACAGTTATTGATCCTCCTTAATCATTGACACTCTAGAAAAATTTGATTTCTTTCACAACCAACAAGCGATTTGTTAGCAATTTTAGCGGTAAAGTTCTCTTTTGGGATCGGTGCGCAGGCAAGAAATTTAACTGCAATGTTGGTCACAAGGAGAACCAGTTGTTTCCGTAAAGTATCCATGACTAAGGATGTCAATAATGGAGTGTTTTACGAGAGGGAAACAAGATGTTACAAGAAAAAAACATGTCGGGGAAAAATCCAATGGGAGATTACACTGAAAGAAAAATTATCTAAAAAACAGAAAATATTTATTCAATGAGAGTACTAAATATATATAACATATTTACTTAAATCTAAATTCTCGTATTTAAGTGGAATAAACAGTTGCTCTCGTGAAAAGTTAGGATAAGAAGAAAGCGTATATTTTTTTATTTGAAAAACATTTTATACTAGCTTAAACCACCCAGTGTTGTTCGGGTTATCACAAAGTGTCAAAAGGTTGAAGTCAAGGAGAGAAGGCGGGCTGTGCAGGTTTCATGGCAGCTTATATTTCCCACAGGATTCTAGAGAGTAACTATGCAAAATTTAGTCCAGATCGATCAAAGGGCTTAGGAGTCTCTATAGGGAATAGACATAGACAGATATTCCATTATATACATAGATTAGTGTAAGTAAATATGTTATTGATATCTCCACCACGTGAATAGATATTTACTATTTTTTTTTAATATTTTTTTTTCACAGTATGCTTCGATAATTCTTTTGAACGTGACTCTATTGCAGAAGGACAGTTGCCGAAAGGCGCAGCCTATCTGGAAGAGAGCGAGTTCGCCGACAGTCGTCCCCCGAGCGACGAGAGACGAGCGTTGATCTCCCCTGGAGAAATACGTGAGTACTCTGACGATTGATTCACAATACAAATAATCGAACGGTGCGACGTTATTGTCATCTTCATCGACGATTGCCACGCGAGAACCACCAGTTTATTTGTACATATGTACTAAGTGGTGGCGCGCTGCTCAGAAACTACATCGCAACTGTCTCTTATCACTAATTAACCGCTAACTTAGCTGTGATAACTCAGTAACGTGCGTGTCTCCCGATCATGTACGCGAGTGCTAATGACTTAAACGTGAACTTGAATTTTACCGTGAAACCGAACCGCTCAGTCTACACCGTGAAGAGGGAATACGAGAGCGAGCCGGAAACGGATAATGAGCCGACGAAGAAGATGGCCGATCTCGGCCCTCGAAAGTTCGAGGGTATCGGCCCGGTGACTAAGGAGGGTGTCCCTCTCGTTTTGAGATCGGTAGGTGTACTGATGATTATTACAATCTCTCGACTAGTACAGTCGCGGCTGCGAGATAACGATCACACTTGTTGTGCACTTTAATCGTCGTTAAGCGTCGCGAACGACAAGGATATTACGCCTGGCATCGCGTGGCGCGACATTTTTCTCAGTATTTCTGACGAGTTGCTTTTAGGAAGTCAAGGAAAGCAATCAGGCGAAATGGTACAAGAAAATGTACGACTCGCTGCACCGCGCCGATCGAAACGGTAAGCTCCCACCTTCGATTGCGCGTATTCTTTCGATGATTTAGAATTTAGTTGAAAAAATAAAGCACGTTATATGCACGATGTTTAATTGAGTTGTGTAAATTGCAAGCTGCTGTGAGCGCGGCTAAAAGAGAGGAGGTTGTAACGCGTTGTATACAAATAAACATGCGTGAATTTTTTTTCTTCCAGTAATAACGTTTTACGATCGAACGCGAATGAATGAATTATAGTGTGTGAATTTTGCTTGCAGATGACTACGTAACCATCCGTTACAAACCAAGGAGAGGTGAATATGCATTTTCGCGCATGATTATGTCGGTTGGTAGAGTCGCGCGACGTTGCTACTAATATTATACTGAGCGTGGGCGGGCTGCGTAATGCAGTCGTTCTAGCTGCAATTTATATAGTTTGCGGTAACGGCAAGCATAAAACGCACTAATATTTGACAATTAATATTGTCGTGCGCAACTAATGTCTGTGAGATGAAACGCAGATCGGAGAGATCGCGTTAATCGCAAAAAATATTATAAAAATGTAAGAACTTGTCTCACTTCTCTCGCTTTCTCCCTTTGAAGACGACTTGTGTAAATCAGCGTACATTTAGTCACGTAGACGCCTTTTATGTAACGCAAAGTAACGACTGCCGTTGTAGACGCTCGTCGCGTTTAACAGTCGCATTAATCGCGCGTGGAAATAATAATAAACCATACTTGCGACAAGCACACACGAACCGTTGTCTCGTCTAACATTCCTCTAACGAACGATTAACGATGCCATTTAAATGGAGAAGATGTTGTCGCAGTTGTGTCGAAATTAGATTTCTTTTTACAATGTTCCTTGCAAAACTGAAATTATAATGTAAATTACTACGTAAGTAGCGACCTCTTTGACGACCTGATATAAAAAAAGAAACATTCAAGTGATTACGACAATTTAGTAGTAAAAAGTGCCTGACACCTTTAAACAAGTATACTTCGGTGACAATGTTGTATAATTTAAAATTGCAAAAATTTTGTTCATTTTTGCGACAATATCTTCTCCGCGTACCTCCGGCAGGATATATCTTTCGGCCGGATTAACATCAGTGTGAATCAATTAACCATTGATTCGTGATAATTGGAGTTAATTCGCGCCTCACCCGAACGCACTCGAGTCAAGCCTCGTCAGGGAATTTGAGAATCTCGGTGAGAGACTCTCATCAAATATATCAAATATATCAAGCCAAGTCGGAACAAACTTCTCGTGCTGGCGCGAGTTGTCTGCGCCATCGCGGCGGGACCTTCTCGAAGTTGACTCGAGAACTTCTCATGTCCGATCTTTCAACAGCTTCGCCTTTGGATTCCCTTCCGCTTTCGCCGATATATTTACGCGGCAAAAATTTAATCTGAACTTCTCAACTGTCGTTATAAGTTAGCCGAGTAAAACCGTATGAAATCACGTCGGGGGAAACTGCATTAGATTTTAATTATCGATCGAGGTTACTTCGGATTTCGGAGAGCTCTGTCGAGAGATCGGAATTCGCGGAGATAGTCTGTACGGGGTATTGAATCAGCATACAGGCCGGTATGACGAGCAAGATAATTTGCAATATTTTTTTCATATTTCCTTCAATGATAGAAACGAGTACGGATCGCGTTTCGCATACGAGTATAGTCTGAGTTGAGTGTGTGCACGTGTACCTACCAACGAAGCGAGTAAGTCACTCGTCGCACTGAACAATATGTTGATGCAACGCTGTAAAATGAAATATGTGTACACGCGTGCGCGCGCGTGTGTGTGTGTGTATATATATATATATATGTGTATGTTTGTGTATGTGTGTATATATAACGTAATATTCTTGGAGTGTGTAAACATCATAGGAACTAAATCAAAGTGAATGCTGAATCGTTTGCGGTGTTAATCGAACGTTTCTCTCTCCATTTTTCTTTTTTTTTTTTTATTTAGCGCTTGATTTCCGCACGCGGACCGGGCGGGAATTTGAATTGTAATCGGTGTGCGGAGCGAGATGTAAAAAGAGAGAAAAAAAGCTATGCATTTCTGTTCCAGGTGGGAGATACGGATACGGAAGCAGCAGCGGATATTTGAGCGAGCCGGAATCGCGCGCATACTCGGATCGATCCGTTACTCTCGATAGCCGCCGACGACTGCGCAACAAAGAAAATGACTTCACCACGGCAACTATGCCCAGAAAGTGAGCGAGAATTCACAAACTTGTCCGCTCGTTCTTCCCCGCTGCGGGGGAGAAGCTTGGGACCGCTGACATATCTTCCGTGCCGCGCTCTCGCCGGCTTTTTCGGTTAATTAAATTTTACGGAGCACTCGCGCGCGTCAAAGACAAGGTCATCTTGTTACGACGGCGAATGTATTATAGTTCGAGGCGTGGAATTATTCGCGCGGACACCTACGACCGAGTAATTCGCGTTTTAATTTAGGAGCGGGGCGCTGAAGTACTCGTCGGATGTTTACAAGAATCAGCCTGGCCGCATCGAGGACTATGAGCCAGGCCATTCGTCGATCGCCGAGAAGGAAGCTAAAGAGGTATGCAGCCGCTGTCGCTCTTCTGTCGAGATCAAACGAGACCTGCTTGTATCATAAATTGAAGCGCGCTTTCCCATATCATCGGAAGAACCGGCAGTGAGACACCGCGTGCGAGTCATCGATCTGTCTCGAGAGCGCGACAGAAGGAATTTAGTTGAATTTCACCAAGTGTCTGCTGAAGTAGAAACGAATTCCGCAGAACGAAACAAAAGTCACCAGAATTTGGTCCAAAGTCATGGACATGGTATATCTCCACGGTTGCTTTTACTTGAGGAGATGCTTCAAGATGCATGTAGAGAAGAATGCGCTCTGTTTTTTGTGTCTCTTGCGCTCTCGTACGTTTTATACATGAACGAGAGAGGATGCAGGGAGGCACAGAGCAGTTCTTCTCTACGTGCACCTCGGCCTCCACCTCCACAACAATCGATTTAAATACATATCAAGCGAATCAGATTCTGGTTAATTGGAAATCTTGTTTAGTTTCAACCAGAATCTTGCCAACTCGAGCAGAATTTTGCTAACTCCAAACGGAATTCGTTCATACTTGATCAGACATTTTTGGTGAATCCTACTAAATCTCTCTCTTCTGTCGTGAACGACGATCGATGAGACGTTACGATGGGATTGTTCTCACCCTTCGGGGAAATCGTTAATTAAAATGAGACCGAAACGAAATCCGCTTGTTCATCCGGGTTTCCATCGATCTTCCTACAAGTGTGAGGACGATTTGCGCCGGTAGCCTCGGTTAACCAGTCCTGATGAGACGACGGGAGAATTGTATTGTGTTCTCTCTGGTGTGACGTTCTGCCAGGGATTTCTATGCCAGGGGATGTTGAATGTAGAGTCTCGAGATGAAGGATTAGTTAACCATGGTTAACGCTGGTGGAAACGCAAGCTCACATCGTCCGACGCTATGCAGTTTCCTCGCGATCGCCTCTCGTCACGGTCTCGTATATCGTCGCGTATCGCGAAATTGTACGAACACGCGGCGCGCCACTGTATATCATCGGACACGAGCAATATTTCGCGCGTACGCGACAGTCACGGTAAAAGCTCGTGCGTGTATATTTATTTTTTATTTTTCTCCTCGCGCGACGAGAACGCGCGGTCTCTCAGCGCAACCCGAGACGGTTACCCCGAGAAAGGCGTCTGAAACACACCTGGAACATGATCGTTTGAAATGGCTTTGCTTCTAGCCGACTTACGGCGCGCGGATGAGAAGGAAGGTAATCACGTAATCGAACGATTAAGACGTGCTTTGCCGGCCAATTATACGTTTCCTCGTTTATTGAGAGCCTTTATGTTGACGTCACGATTAATTTATTGATTGAAAGCTCTTGCTCTCTCTCTCTCTCTCTCTCTCTCTCTCTCTCTCTCTCTCTCTCTCTCTCTCTTTCTCTCTCTCTGTCTCTCTCTTTTTCTCCTTCTTTCTGCCACTCACGAGGCGGTTAGTGCGTTTCTTTGACACACAGCGCATATATACAGCCCTCAGGTGTATCAAGCACGCACGTGTGTATTCGGGGCTCGCAGAGTCCCTCGAGAAAAGCGAGATTACAAAAAAAATTGCAGAAACTATTTCGCGGTGTCTTGTTATCGCCGCCCGAGGCGATGCCGATCGCTTCTCTCGGGGCGCCCTGCGGTTCCACGTAGCACAGGACCCGTTTATTTTTCACACAGCTTTTGTAGCGTTGCTTGTAGTCGATCCTGCGTTCAAAGCGACTACGCTGATTCCCATCTAAAGTCGCGACGTCGCGCTAACGAAGCGCGTGTTCCAGCGCGCACCATTTCACGTGAGAGCCTCACCGGTGTTGTCGATCGATACAACCGCGTCTCTTGTTGTTTTAGATGGGAAATGGCGAGAGAATGGTCGGACATATGCTGTCCAACCACCTCTTTTATTTCGACCTATTGTATAAATATGCCACACACAAAAAATAACCCCTTTTAGGCAGCGCTATAGTATAACACTGTGTTTAATTCTGTGATTCTAGTGGTGGGACGAGGTCATGGACATATTTGACGGGGTACGCCATTTTTATATTAATGCGTAGTTAAATAAGTACTCCCTCCACACACAGGCGCGCGCGCGCGCGCACACACGCACACATACACACACTCGTACCTGTATCCGCTCTTCTTTACTCTTTCCTCTTGCCTGTTTTGTTCTTTTATTCTTTATTATCACTAGTACTTTCCCCTCCTTTTTTTACATAGATCACAAGATTCAATTAAAATTAACATTTCCCATTACTTCAGAATTAACCCGGTAGCGTCGGCTTGAGGGGGATCTCGCGAGAAACTCTTGTTGAAATACCTCGTTTCCATACAAATCCTCTCCACTTTTTCCCTATTCCAATAAATTAGTCGCAAGATCGGAGAGAAAAATGCGAGCATATTTTCGCATTCTCGATGTTCGAGAGGACTCCGAGTCCGTTTCTTTCCCGGCGGGTAGAATCGCGGTGCATTATACGGGATTATTAAATCTCTCGGCGACTCGATCTTTGCCGTATCGGCCGGTTATAGAGTTAGCCGACAAAAAACGGCGCTCTTTCATGCGCGACTTGGAGCGCTAAACGCGTTAATTACCGGCGGCTTACCGCGCACCGATAATCGATGCATCCTCGCATCCGCGCGCAAATAGACGCATGCAATCCCCGACAATATCCCGCGGAGCTTGTCTCAAATATCGCAGAATCTTGGTCGCTGCCAGACTACCATATATCGAGGGGTTATATAACGGGCCGGTAATATCGTATCCGCGGAGGGTTGAGTATTGCATCTCTCGTGTATCACGATGCTCCCCGTGTGTAAACCTACCCGTATGCACCGTATCCGCATTTTACTAATTGCCTAAATTGTGTTCCGTCTCTTCCGCCACATATCGCCGGCCGGTCGTCCGGATCGTCGACGATCGTGCACTGACCCCTGCATTACCCCCCTCCCCCCGAGTCGTGATCATGGTCGATGTCATTGCGCGCGTGTGTGCATATGTTGCGTGCGTGTGTGTGTGTGTGTGTGTGTGTGTGTGTGTCGCGTGCTCGTCGTCGATGTTTTGTGCGTGTCGTGTCCGCTCTTATATGTACCCTACCGTTGTCCATTCCCCAATGACGATGACGACGACAACAACAACAATAACAACGACCACGACCACGACTATGACCACGACCACGATGACGACGACTACAACAACATGGACGTTGCGGCTAATAGTGGCTGAATGCAAACGGACGTCCCCAGCACGCGCAGTCCAGGATGGAGTCTCTGTGTGACATCGAGCCTCATATCCTCAGCCTCTCCTACCGGCCGGAGGACAGTGTAAGGATACCAGCGTTAAGCAGCACGAAAAGCTCCGAGGTCGGCGCGAGACCGCGTCCGTTGGCGCCAGAAGGTTCAGCCGATCGGTCGACCGATCGTCCGGCGCACGGTCTCGACAGCCGTTCACCCGCCAGGTCTCGCTCGCACCGGTCGACTAGTCGTAGCCGATCTAAGTCGTCGACCGCGTTAGCCGAGGCGACGTTCGATCGGCCGAACGACCAGACCACCGGCAAGGACCCAGACGGTCGCATCATCCGACCTCTGGAACGGACCGCCGACGCCTGCTATTGGCATGCCGCCGGCATGCTGGAGGGGAGGTCCAAGAGCTTCACGTTGTCGGGCCGTTGCCCACGACGATCGCACTCAGTCGGCGGCGCCGAGCGATCTGTCGCCACTAGTCGCTCGGTGCTACTCCCGACCGCGATCGCGCCGAGCTCGACCGGCAACGGCATCCAGCCTCATCGTTATCATCGCCATCATTATCATCATGAATATTATCAGCATTATTATCAGCAGCAGCAGCAGCAGCAGCAGCAGCAGCAACAACAGCAGCAGCAGCAACAACAGCAGAAGCAACAGCAGCAGCATTACCGTCATCATCATCATCATTATCATCGTCATCAGACAACCACCTACCAAGGCAACCAAGAACCATCGCAACAACGTCCACCGCTTTCTTCTTCTTCTACTTCTTCTTTTTCCAGCACCGATCATATACTACCATCACCGTCAACACCCTTCGTTATCACCACGCAAGCATCGGTTTCACGGGTTAGAGGCCACATCGTCAAGAAGTAGAGTGCACGATGACGTTGTCCTCTCTCTCTCTCTCTCTCTCTCTCTCTCTCT